GATACTTTAGATATATTTGAAATTTTTTTTAACTATATGTATTTTCTACTTTTAAACTGATATAGCAATTATAGTAGAGTACATCATTTTAATGATTTTGAGCATAAACTCAAACTTATCAGCAATGACAAATAGGATTATTTATTTTTACATATACTATTTAATATATTTTCATTATACTTATTAAAAATTTTTAGCTAAATTATTATTAGTTCTCTTCAAATTATGTATTTCAAAATAACACTTATAAACAGCTTCTATTATCCAAAATCTTATCTTAATTTGTTATCAGAACTACAAATTTATCATACAGTGCTATATACTATAAAATATAGAAATAACTCCAGAAGACACATGAGAGTTGGAGGTCAGAGTGCTGTAGTATCTGCATATGAATATGCAGATCTCTAATCTTTAATAGGTTTTCTGAAGATAAAAGAGCTAAAACTTATTTATGTAATAAAAGATATAAGAGAGTTTTAATAAATTAAAGAGATTAAAGAAGAAAAGAAGCTATAAAGAATTAATAGGTTTTAATAATTTTAGGGTATTTGAGACATTAGAGTATTAAAATAAGTTTAAATATTATAAATTGTAAAAGAGTTATATAAAACATAGTACTGTAAATTGTATATATTGAAAGTATAGTCACTCATAATAAAGGTTAACTCTTGTAGTTTACTTATTAACAACTTGAATACTTTATTAAAATATTATTGATTCCTAATTCATTAAAACTCAAATAAACTATACTCTCACTAAATTAACCTCTCTAACTTTAATTATCAATAAATTGACATATAGTACATTTATTGTTGTCTTGTTTACATAATATCTACTTTAAAAATTGTCTAGTTAATCTTAATATACTAAGATTAACCATAGTTTTTCTGTCTAACTAATCTGATATACTATGGTTGGTTGTAGTTATTTTATTTTATTTAGTTTTAGTTACTCAATAAACTGTAGTGACTATAGTTTCAAAAATTAGAATACTTGATATACTATAATATTCATTTTTTAAAATTAAGAATAATTACAAATCTATGAGCACAAACCTACTGACCAAATCTAAACTTCTCTTTCAACTAGGCTATTCATAGATTATAAAAAGTTTTCTCATAGCTAAGTGACTAACTCACTATATAAATCTTTTATTTTAATACAATACTCTCATACTTGATCTGAAATCTATTCTACAAATCAGTTCAAATCTATAGTATTTTTAGACAAGACTAGCTTTATGTCTCTAGTATCATATTTTGAAATAGTGAGTTAGTTACTTAAATAGTATGATCTTCATATCATATAACTCAACAACTAGTCAAAAAAGGTGCTTAGATTTGTCAAGTAGAATTCTAAGATTTTGGTTATTGTTCTGAACCTAAATTATGTAGCAGGCCTTCTTTCGTTATTGAGTCTCTTAAACTTCTCTTAATCAACTTTAGCTGACTTATCCTCTATCTTTAGGATTATCAGATACAAGATTAAGTAACAAATTATTCTCTACTTAATAATACAATGATTACTCTATTACAAAGAGTAATTTGAGTAGCACAACATTATCACAAAAACAAGTTTGTACTTAGTGAAAGTCTTTTACATATAAAAGATCAAATAAGTAGTTTTAGCGATTTATATTTGAAAATTTTATAAGTTAGGAACAGAACACTTGATATTTCAGATTTAATGTCTAATATTTTAGATCAATTACTTAATATTGAGTAGAGAGGCAAAATGCTTTTAATTTATATAAGATATATTATAATATAGAGTTAAATAATTTAAATTGTTAAATCATTATAATCGTTAAAGTGATTATAATATTATAATTATTAAAATAATTATAATAACTATAATCATTAAAATAATTATAATTATTATAATTATTAAAATGATTATAATAATTAAAATCATTAAAATAATTATAACAATTAAAATCATTAAAATTATTATAACTATTTAAATAATTATAATATTAGGATCTCTAAAAAAGTTAAAGATCTATCTAACTAAAAAATTATACTGTGAATTATTCTAATAACTTCAGATAGAGTTCAGCCTAGCTATATTTTCTGATTCATATTAGTTTGACCCAAAAATAATACACGTTGATTAGCTGCATTGCAATTGATCTAGAGTTTTTAGTTTTTTTTCAGTTTCAGATCTTATCTTTGATCTAACCTGATTTTTTTAGTTCAGAGTAGATTCTTTAAAAAACTCAGTCTCTTACTATACTCTTAATTTAATCAAATTTTGATCACATATATCATGTATATTTTTGTATAATACTGCATTTTGTCTATCTCTAAATGAGAAATTTGTATAAAGTTTTTTTATATAATAATTAAAATAATTTAATAGAGCTAATTATCAAAATAGAAAAGAATATTGTTGTGTGCATTATTTATTAAACAAAATAATATAAGTAATAGTTATATCCTGAGTAGTTAGGTATAAGCAAAATTTTGATAAAAAGTATAATGATGTAAATTGGCTATATAGTAGCAGATCTATATTATTATACTTTTTAGCAAAATTTCACTTATATCTAATAACTTAAGATATAACTAATATATCCTCTGCTATCTATATGACTAAAAAAAACTTCTTTCTTTAATAAAGAATGAAAACATAGTTAGAAGTTTTTTTTTTAATATTTATGTACTAGTATTTTTTAATTTAAATAAGTTTTATTATCATTACTACTTTACTATTGCTATTGCTACATATTATCATTACTACTGTATTACTATTGCTATTACTAAATATATATTTAATTTTTAAGGAATCTGAATTTAAATCTGCTTCAGAAATCAATCTAATAACTCAAATAATAACTAACTTAAAGAAATCAAGTTCAAATATAGAAATAACTAGTAGATCTTTAATAAAACCAAATAATAAAAAATTCAATATATATATTATATTTAATTATTAATATTAAATTATATTAATACAATAAATTAATTTAATAATATTGTAGTTTAGTAGATTTAAATATCAATATCTATCAAATAACACATTAAATCATTAGCAAACTACAATTCCAAAAAATACTCAAAAAAGTTCAATGATTTTAGTGTAGTGGTTAGGTTGTCAGACTACCATGTAAGAGGTTTGGGGTTCAAATCCTACTGTCAATGAATTTGAATAATTTTCTAGATCTTTGTATCCAACTTACAGTAAACCCTATCTGTTTCTGGAGGTTGTAACTCTGTAAATCACATTATACTAATGTTAATTGGATATTGGAAGTGTGACGCAATATTCGAGTTATGTTGTATAAATAAATCTTAATAGGATCCACGAGTAGAGAACCTGCATAGTAGAAATCTCAAATTAGATAAAGTAGTACAGATTTCAATAGTCACACTGGTTAACACTTGATCTAGAAAAAGAAGTCTGTATATGAAGATTGCAGATCGAGCAGGTGCGACAAGTTCACTATATAATTCAGTCTGGTGCCTTGTATTAATGGTAATACCAACTTGGCTTGGCAGCTAACTAGATTTGTGAGGATCTGACTCGTGAAACTTCTGAATATATGAAGGACTAATTTGGTAGAGAGCCACAGTAGAAACTGAGTTTGTATGAACATCTATAAGGATATATGCTAGCTTAATCGAGATATAGCATAGCATAGTTAGAGTATTCTGGAGACTCCTCCTGACGAAGATTAAAGAGTACCTTGAGATAGGACCCTTCTAATAAGGGAAACTGAGATGCAAGGTCAGTCTGAGTGGTCCTCATTGAGGCAGCACGAGATTATGCAGGTTTAAAAATAAAATTGAGTTAGCATTAGAGATGACAGGAATGTCAGAAAGTTTAAATAGAGTATCTACAAATGAATACTAGGTATAGCAATTGGTAGGTAACCTCCAAGCAGAACCTTTAAATAGACAATGATTAAAGTTGTATATGTGACCAATTATACTCTTACTAACTAATGTAAACCTACAATCTACTTAATAAAAATTAACTGGCATCGAGGCCTTGTTGGACTAATAAAAAAAAAAAAAAAAAAATACTCAAAAAAGTAACGAGCTTTAGATTATATGATTTAAAGAATATGTTAAAGATATCCAACCTGATCTTGATATTGACCAAATTATTAATAAATATATACTCACTGTTTTACTTTTTGAATTTGTTATTATAATAAAAAAATATAATAAAATAAATTTAAAGCAGATTCACTATATAATGGTGTTTGTATAATAAATAGATATTTTATTGAAAGATTTAAAGAAATAGATCCTTTTAATTTATATAGTAATTTTGAATTTGCTTCTTTTCGTGATATTCTATATTCAAGACTGTGAGAATTAGAAGAAATTTCTAATAGAATATCTCAAGATGCAGATCTACTAAGTGATTATAAAATGATAAAATATTTGAATATTGTGAACTTGATAAAGATATACCAATAGGACTATTTTGTAGAGTTTTTTTATAGATAGGTTGTTGTGCTACTAAACAGAATAGATCCTATTTAGATATAATAGTATCATATTTTAAAGAACGTTAAGATAAAGAATTTGATCTTTTAACAATTCATGATAAAACCCATAAGGGTGAATATTATCATCATAATACTTCTAGATCTGAACATAATATACCTTTACAAATTATACCTCCAAATGAATTAGAAGTTATTAGAGCATGTACTGATATCAAAAAAATATTTAAGTTTATGATCAACAAATGCAAAACCAAATTTATTTTTACAAATTAATAAAGACTCAGAAGGTTGGTTAAATTAAATTTATTATTGTTATACATACTATGTATATATATATTAATTTATTACATATAGAAATAAAAAAAGAAAATTGGTATACACATCTTCATATGGGTTATGACTCACTATCCAAAATTTTAAAGACTATTTGTGAATTAACTAGAATTGATTGCACTAATCAACATATAATCAATTATTCTTTGCATAAAACTACTGCTCAAAAGCTTAATGATCATAATGTAATCTTCAAGCAATAATGAATATTACACTTCATCATTCTATGGCTAGACTTAATCGTTATAAAAAACAAAATGAAGAACAACGTATTAAAGTAACAAATATTGCTCTTCCTGCTGTTAATAATGTAATTATAATTTTTTTAATAATTTATTTAATTAATTAAAATACTAACTACTATATATAATTGGTATTTAGGTTTTACCAAAACAAATACTAGCAAATGAAGAAGGTTCTCAAAATGAAACAATATCAAGCTTTAACAAATCTAACATACAATTACAAGATTCTATTACAAATATAATTTAATATATATTATTAACTTACTTATTTTACATTTTATAAACTAACGACTTTTTTTCTAGATAGAAGTTAATACCGATCAAAATAAAACTTCTAAAATACCATTTAATGAAACAACTAACATTATTAGTTCTGATAATACATCGATTAAGAAGCGGTCTAGTGAACTTCAACTTGGCGAAAAAAGAGTGAAGTTTATAAACTATAAAAATTTTACTATTAATTTTAATAATTAATGTATTATTTTAAATTCATATAATTTGTAATTCGCTTATATAACATTATGCTTTATTAAAACAATTAATATTTGGCGTTAGTTAATAAATTTCTATATACCCTGATTACTATATGTCAATCGGAAAGTTTAAGTCACTTATGCATTGTATTCTTTGTTTACAATAGAATTTGAGTTCCGCTTATACCTAATTGTCTGGAATATAACCATTACCAATTTTCTAGATATGACGTAAGCCAGTAAAAATAAGTTGATGACATTTATCAGTAGGAATAAGTACATAAAAAAAGTCATGTAGATGGGGTTGGCCAGGGGATATATATACGTATCACATGAAAAATTACATGAAATCTAAGTAAAAAAAAATTATATGAAATATAAAAGTAATTTTCATAACACATCCTCTTAAATTTTGTGCGCGAAACCAATCTTCGAGCTTTGAAGTTTATAATTTATCGGACCAAACATATCAGATTTTAGTGACAGGAAATAAACTTGTAAGCCCGAAGTCTGTTTCCCTTGGTGACACTCAGGTATTATAAGTTCATACGGCATTACGGCAAAATCTTAGTTCAAATGCCGTAATTCCCCGGCAACTATACATGAGTCAGATTAAAACGATCTATAATAATCATTTTAATCTGACGCAAGTATTAATATTAATCTGAGGCACGACATAAATAAAGCAAATTCAACTTCGAAACCAATACAGTATAAAATATTTATATCGATTTACTAAAGTACTGAAACAGCATTTTATTGATTTGTGAATTGTAAGATTAAACTGGTATTTTAATAAAATTCAAAACAATGACAAATGAAAAATCAACGACTAACGCTAGGTTATAAAAAAATAAACTCAATATGGTCTACCAAGCACCACCAATTTTACTAATACTGTAAAATGCGAGCGAACAATACTCTCCGTTTCATTCCATTTCATTTCGTTTCTAATTTGAACGATCCAATAGCGAGTTGGCTTTATATTTTGCATTATAATTTCCCATCCTAGCTGATTTTATATAAAAATCCAAAGCTTTTTGTTCATCTTTTTCAACACCAAACCCATTTTCATAACAATAGCCGAGATTAAATGTTCCATCAAAATCTCCCATATCGGCTGATTTTTGATAATATTCAAATGCCCTATATCCGTCCTTTACAACCCCTATTCCATTTTTATAACAATTGGCAAGATTGTATATTCCATCAGGATCACCCAGTTCAGCTGATTTTTGATAATATATAAACGCTTGTTTATCATCCTTTACAACACCAATACCATTTCGATAACAATATCCAACTTGAAACATTCCATTGGGATTTCCCATATCGGCTGATTTTTTATAATATTCAAATGCCTTATATTCGTCCTTTACATCCATTGCTCCATTTTTATAACAATTGGCAAGATTGTATATTCCATCAGGATCGCCTATATCAGCTGATTTTTTATAATATATAAACCCCTGTTTATCATCCTTTCCAATTCCAATACCATTTCGATAACAATATCCAACTTGAACCATGCCAGCTGAATTATTCATATCAGCTGATTTGCGATAACTGGAAAACGCCTTTTCTTCATCTTTTTCAACTCCAATTCCATTTTGATAACAATAACCCATATTAAATGCTCCATCAGAATTACCCATATTAGCTGATTTCTGAAAGCAATCAAATGCTTTTTTTTCATTTTTTTCAATACCGATACCATTAAGATAACAATAGCCAATATTATATTCACCATCAGAATCTCCCATTTCAGCTGATTTTTGATAATATTCAAATGCTTTATAATCATTTTTTTCAACTCCAATTCCATTACGAAAACAATAACCTATTTGAAATGTTGCAACACAATTCCCCATTTCATCCGATTTTTGATAATGAATGAATGCCTCATGCTCATCTCTTTTAATTCCAATTCCCTTTTGATAACAATAACCGACTAGAAGCACTCCTTTAGGATTTCCCATTTCTGCAGATTTTTTATAAAAAATGAACGCTTTATACTCATCCTTTTTATCAACCCCAATACCATTTTGATAATAATAACCTGTATTATATGCTCCATCGGAATCACCCATTTCAGCTGACTTTTTGTAATAAATAAATGCCTTGGATTCATCTTTATCAACTCCAATTCCATCTTTATAACAATTAGCAAGGTTAAATGTTCCGTCAGAATCTCCTAATTCATCAGATTTTTTATAATATTTAAATGCTTCACATGCATCTTTTTTAATTCCAATTCCATTCTGATAACAATAACCAACTTGTAATACTCCATTTAAATTTCCCATTTCTGCTGATTTTTGGTAGTTATTGAATGCCTCTTTTTCATCCTTTTTTATTCCAACCCCATTTTGATAACAATATCCAAGATTAAATGTTCCATCAGAATCATCATTCTCTGATGATTTTTTATAATTTTCAAATGCCTTATTTACATCTTTTTCAACCCCAATACCATGTTGATAAAAATATCCAACTTGAAACATTCCACTAGAATTTTTTAACTCGGCCGATTTTTGATAACTATTAAATGCTTTTATTTCATCCTTTTCAATACCAATTCCTTTTTGATAACAATAGCCAACATTGTATGCACCATCAGAATCATCCATCTTTGAAGATTTTTGATAATGTTCAAATGCTTTGCATTCATCCTTTTCAACTCCTATCCCGTGTTGATAACAATAACCAACTTGAAATATTCCACTAGGATGATTCATATCAGCAGATTTTTGATAATTAATAAATGCCTTACTTTTATCTTCTTGAATCCCAATTCCATTTTGGTAACAATAACCAAGATTAAAAATTCCATCTGAATCACCCATTTCTGCTGATTTTTGATAATGTTCAAATGCTTTGTTTTCATCCTTTTCAACTCCTATTCCGTGCTGATAGCAATATCCAACTTGAAATATTCCATTAATATTTCCCATTTCAACTGATTTTTGATAATAAATAAATCCCTGAACTTCATCTTTTTGAACTCCAATTCCGTTCTGATAATAATAACCAGCATTATATGCTCCATCGGGATCATTCAAATCAGCAGATTTTTTATAAAATTTAAACGCTTCTTTTTCATTCTTTTCAACACCAATAGCATTTCCATAACAATATGCAACATTAAAAGTTCCAATGCGGTTACCCATATTATCAGCCTTTTGATAGCATAAGAATGCCTTTGGTTCATTCTTGTCAATTCCAATTCCGTTTTGATAAAAATATCCAACTTGAATTGTTCCATTTGAATTACCCATTTCATCGGATTTTTCATAGTGCTTATATGCTTCCTTTTCATCCTTTTTAACTCCAACCCCATTTTGATAACAATGACCAACATAATATGTTCCAACAGAATTTTCCATTTTAGATGATGTTTGATAATAAGTAAACGCTTTATATTCGTCTTTTTCAACTCCAATTCCATTTTGATAACAGTAACCAACTTGAAACATTCCACTAGAATTTTCTAACTCGGCCGATTTTTGATAACTATAAAATGCTTTTCTTTCATCCTTTTCAACACCAATTCCATTTTGATAGCAATAGCCAACATTGTATACACCATCGGAATCATTCATATCAGCAGATTTTTGATAATTAATGAATGCTTTATGTTCATCGATTTCAACTCCAATACCATTTTGGTAACAGTAACCAACTTGAAACATCCCGCCAGGATGATTCATATCAGCAGATTTTTGATAATAGGTAAATGCATTGTGATCATAGGTTTCATTGTCTTTATCTTTATTAACACCAATTCTTTTTTGGTAGCAATAACCAACGTTATATGTTCCATCAGGATCACCCATCTCTGAAGATTTTTTATAATGTTCAAATGCTTTGATCTCATCCTTTGCAACGCCTATTCCGTTTTGATAACAATAACCAACTTGAACTATCCCATTAACATTCCCCATTTTAGCAATCTTTTGATAATTATCGAATGCCTTGCTTTTATCTTCTTCAACGCCAATTCCATGTTGGTAACAATAACCAAGATTAAAAATTCCATCAGAATCTCCCATTTCTGCTGATTTTTGATAATAAGAGAATGCTTTTTGTTCATCCTTTTCGACTCCAATTCCATTTTGATAATAATAAGCAAGATTAAAAATTCCATCAGAATCACCCATTTCTGCTGATTTTTGATAATAAGTAAATGAATCATGGTCGTTCTGTTTTACACCAATTCCGTTTCTATAGCAATAACCAACTTGAAATATTGCATTAACATTCTTCATTTCAGCTGACTTTTGATAATTAGCAAATGCTTTGCTTTTATCTTCTTCGACCCCAACTCCATTTTGATAACAATAACCAAGACTACATATTCCATCGGAATCACCCATATCAGCAGATTTTTTATAGTATTCGAATGCCTTGTATACATCCTTTTCAATTCCAATTCCATTTAAGTAACAGTATCCAACTTGAAATATTGCATTAACATTCTTCATTTCAGCGGACTTTTGATAATTAATAAATGCCTTACTTTTATCTTCTTCAATCCCAATTCCATTTTGGTAACAATAACCAAGATTAAAAATTCCATCAGAATCACCCATTTCTGCTGATTTTTGATAATGATTAAATGCTTCGATCTCATTCTTTTCAACTCCTATTCCGTTTTGATAACAATAACCAACTTGAACTATCCCATTAACATTCCCCATTTCAACTAACTTTTGATAATTATTGAATGCCTTGACTTTATCCTCTTTAACACCAATTCCATTTTGATAACAATGACCAATATTAAAGATCCCATCAGAATCACCCATTTCTGCTGATTTTTGATAGTGAATGAATGCCTTCTGTTCATCCTTTTCAACACCTATTCCATTTTGATAACAATAACCAACTTGAAATATTCCATCGACATTCTCCGTTTCAGCTAATTTTTGATAATGAATAAACGCATTATGCTCGTCCCTTTCAACACCGATTCCATTTTGATAACAATAACCAGCTTGAAATATTCCATTAACATTTTCAATTTCAGATAATTTTTGATAATGTTTGAACGCCATATTTTCATTCTTTTCAACTCCAATTCCATTCTGATAACAATAACCAAGATTAAAAATTCCATCAGAATCACCCATTTCAGCCGATTTTTGATAATAAATGAATGCCTTATGCTCATCCTTTTTTACTCCAATTCCGTTTAGGTAGCAACAACCAAGATTAAAAATTCCATCAGAATCACCCATTTCTGCTGATTTTTGATAATTAACGAATGCTTTATTTTCATCTTTTTCAATCCCAATCCCCTCTTGATAGCAATAACCAACTTGAAATATTCCATTAACATTTTCAATTTCAGATAATTTTTGATAATGTTCGAACGCCATATTTTCATTCTTTTTAACTCCAATTCCATTCTGATAACAATAGCCAATATTAAAGAATCCATCAGAATCACCCATTTTTGCCGATTTTTGATAATGATTAAATGCATTTTGTTCATCTTTTTTAACACCGATTCCATTTTGATAACAGTAACCAACTTGAAATATTCCGTTAACGTTCCCGATTTCAGATAATTTTTTATAATGAATAAACGCCTTATGTTCGTCCTTTTCAACCCCGATTCCTTTTTGATAACAATAACCAATTTGAAATATTCCATTTTCGTTCCCCATATCAGCTAATTGTTGATAGTGAATAAACGCCTTATGCTCGTTCTTTGTAACTCCAATTCCATTTTGATAACAATAACCAATTTGAAATATTCCATCAACATTTCCCATTTCAGCTAGTTTTTGATATTGACTAAATGCTTTATATTCGTCTTTTTCAACCCCGATTCCATTTTGGTAACAATATCCAAGATTATATGTTCCACCCACATGACCCATTTTAGATGACTTTTCGTAATTCTTAAATGCTTCATACTTATTAATCTCAACACCCATTCCATTTAGATAACAATTTCCGAGATTATAAATTCCGTCAGAATAATCCATATTAGCCGATTTTTCATAATGTATAAATGCTTTATCTTTATCCATTTCAACCCATCTTCCAAAATGATAACAATTTGCGAGAATATTCTCAATTATAGGATTTTTTTCATTATAATTCAATAATTGATTAATTATATCCTCTGATTTTTGCTGCCTTTTTTTTATATATTGATCTAAAATGTCAAGTATTTCTATGGTTTTTTTTCCTTTCACAATTTCTTCATTATATAGCTTACTTAATTCTTCAATAAACTTTGACATTTTAGCTTTAACGAAATTCTAATAAAGTTATCCCGATTTGAGTGTATGATTATCAGTTATCGTTATACAGTATATCGTTATACTTTTATAGAACTAGAGGTAGGACCGTCCCCAAGTTTGCAGAACGTTACACAAACGATTAAATTAATTCGAAATTTTTTTTATATACGGTGTTACAATACTTTTCGGAAGCTCATATCGTACACTGGAAATGTCCCCCTTGTAATGTATGTAATTTTTTAACTACGTATATGATCGTCAACCTGCATAAAGAAGTTTTATATATAATTTTACACAGTTTGCGCCGGTTTACCTTTTAATTCACAATATTCTTGTAATGATAACTATGACGGTCAACTAAGAAAAAATAAAGCTATAGCTATACGCTGATTGCAGTTTTAATATAAGGTCTGCAAGAGCAAAAACCTTAAAACGATCTTCGTTTAAAATGCAAGTATCCAACCCCGGTGAACCAGTGTATTAGAGGGTTTCAGATTTTAGAACAATGATTCAATACCAAAATCCATATCAATATGTACCTTCGAAAAATTCAACACATATTTTATTCATATTGATATTGGGAAAATAAAACCTCCAAAAATTATCTTATTAAATTAGCGTATTGTGTATCATTCGTTATTACTATTATAACGATAATACAGTATAACAATACAATACAATTATTTTATAATACCGATACAATCCTTTTTTTTTTTTTGACGATACTTTTTTTTTTGACAATACTTTTTTTTTTGACGATATTTTTTTTTTTTTGACGATACTTTTTTTTTTTAACGATACTTTTTTTTTTACATTTTTTTTTTTTCTGGCCAATCCCCAAAATTGGAATTACTGATTACTTGTTTAAGAACATTATGTATTCAGCTAGTAACAATCATGACTCTTTTACAGCTATTAATTGTTGGAATGCTAGTACTAGTGATATCGAATGGGAAGATCCTGATAAAACATATGTTTGTTTAGACAGTGATTTTAGTTTGATGACCAATAGTACTAAAGCATCTTCGACTATATCGGATGATAATTATAATGACATTCATGAACTTTCTTTTAATTATGATTATAATACATTTCAAAAAGCTCAAGAAGCCGCATGCTTTTTTGAAAATAATGATAATACTGACTTTGATGATGAGTATGATAAAATTACTTCCAGTGATACAGACTATTTATTTGCAGATTCAATAGAAAGTAGCAATATACAAGAAGATGACTATATCATACAAGATATCTCATGCAAAAAATTAGGTCAATGTGTTGTTCTTGACATTTATAATGGAGAAGTAAAGCGTTGTCCTAATTATGAGAGACCTAGACACTTATTAAGACCACTTCACCAGCTTGTAGGAACTTGGGAAATTAATAGTTCTGTTATTGATAAAAACAATCCTCGTGGTATGATACATACTTTGGGTGTATATATGCTGTATCTTTTATTTGATCAAAATCGATTATATAATGAGGTAGCAAAATATGAACGATCAGTAGATATGAGCTATATTCATCTAAGAAGATATTTGTTCTGTAATAAAAACCAATATTTTTTTAGTCATGGGATGAATTGTAAAGAACATTGTGTCAATATTAATGGGTGTAACATACAAATTCTTTGTATCGGATGTAAAGTATGTTCAGCACTGTTTGGCAAAAAAGGACAATTAGTTGAGCCAGCAATAACAGAAGATTCAGTAAGATTTATTTGTTCACAATGCTTTTAAGAAGAGGGTAAACACTTGTATGAGAGAAAAGAAAGTGGGGTGAAAAATTATTCTTGTCATGAACAACATACTAATGATAGTAAAGAAGCACTTTCTTTGCTTGGAAGATGGCTTATTGAGGTTGCAGAATCTCAGAATGAACAATTAAAAAAAAATTTTAGCTAAAATAGCATTACCGCTCAGTGAAATTATGACTAAAAATAATAATCAGAATGATACAGATGAATCAGTACCAAGCATGATGGCTATAAAAACAGCTATGTGACTTGGGAAAATAAAAACCAAAAAATTAGATGAAGGATTCCAATTAACAAATTACTTAATACATAATAATCAAAGTAAAAAACTTGGAGAAATTTTGGTCAAGCTATATGGAATACATATTCAAGTATAATGCAAAATAAAGTGATACTTGAATCACCATAATCACTTAATCATTATCGTAATAGCTTTCCACAATTTTTAAGAAATTTTTTTGAAAGTCTTATATTATTCATACAAAAAAAAAATACCAGGTTTGTTTAAAAAAACAAAAACAATGACATATTGATATAGAACCAGTAAAATTTAATCCTGAAAGGTCTTATAAAATTTCTATTTTTATTATGTCTGTTATTCTTACCATTGCTTTCCCAAGCATTAGTGTGTGGTTTACACATACATTAACTTCACTCTGCAGAAAGCCGAATCTTTTAACATCACTATACCTAATTTTATGTATGGCAAATGTTGTATCACATTCTCAACATCATGAAAGATAGCTTGAAAAAAATTGGCAAACTTATTTAAAGCCAGAAATATAGTTGCTTGAAGGAGAAAATATTTAGAGCATATGCGTGCTAGATAATATTGATTTCAAACGATAGTCTTTTGCCTTTGGCAATATATATGATGTTACACATATGACTAAACATGCATGTTTACATATAGTATTTCAATTTATACTACCAGTCCCTCTTGAAGAAATTTTTTTTAAAACTTCACAAGAACAATATTTATTAAAAATCAGTACATCTGATTTTATAGTAAAGGAAGTTACAAATTTTGAACAAATATTTTACAAATTATTAATGCTTGATAAAGCAGAAGTTGATGTAGATAGAGTATACAAAGAACTAATAATGATAACTAATATTAATATAGAATCAGAGTGTTAGGTACCTGCACCAAACGTTGTTATTTTAGAACTGGGCAATAACCCATGTTCAGACGAAGCAGTTCATAATACATGTAGTATATTTTTTAATAATGTAGGAAAAAAAGCTAGTAGATATGGTAAAATTGATGTAGTTGCAGATGAAGCTATTTTTCAATATTTAATTTCCTATCATAAAATTCAACTAAATATAAAAATTCTTTTAGGTGCTTGGCATACCAATAAAGAAATGTATTTAACTGTGATAACAATTTTTTCAGGTTACAGAATATTTGATCTAGCTGTATATCTTGGAGTACGATTCTTTGATAAACTAGAGAAAGTAGTTGATTATTCAGCAACATGTCGAGTATTAGAGCTCATATGGATTTTTGTTAGTCTTGCAATAAGTGAAATTGCTCAAAATACTAATAGTAACTTTGCAGAAATTAAAAATGGTAATAATAATATAATAAAAACTTGGCTTTTTTATTTTGAGTGGGGTAGTTATTGGATAGGCCATAAGATTGGCATATGGTATGGGTATTATCAGATACAATTTCAAAACTTAGCTGCATTCGCTCCACTTTTTGCTATAGCAGGAAAAAGTAATTATACACAATCAGTTGTTTATTTTTTACATTATTTATCTGAAGATCCAGAATTGCGCCTATTGTTACAATATATTCTATCTATAAATTTAATGAGAGAAGGACACTTTTTCACCTTTGATGAGGCACTTGAATATTTCAGTATCAAATATATTAAAGAAAATATTAGATTTTTTTTAGAAAATGAAGATAAATTAAAATTACAAATAAATGCAATACAAGCTGAAAGAGAATGTTTAGACTTGCTTTTGCATGAATTTGTTAGGGATGATATTATTATTTCTAAAGATTGTAAATTAGCATCTAGATATAGTACAATAAATAATTTAAAATGTAAATTAATTCAGGCATTTACTTAACAGGATAATCTAAGTGCACATGAAATTTTTAAAAATATATCAGAATATATGGAAGAAGGTTTTAATAATTTATTTACTTGTTATAATATAGGTATTGAACGTCTAAAGAATATTTATTCTCAAGAAATTACTGAAGATATCCCCTATGCTACTAAAGGGAGAAGGCAAAAAAACATAAGAACTAGTATGATCTACTAGCAAAAAAAAGCCAAAAAAAATCGTAAAGATACAGAAAAGTTGATCTGATTGCTTAAAAAAAAAATCCCGAATTTGATCTATATATTAATATGTTAGACTATAGGATTGTTATAGATAATGATAAGAGTAACCATAACAAAGGTTTCACTTCAGAGAAAAGAAAATGAAAATATTTAACAAATTCTGAAAATAGAATTTTTGAAAGATTAGTTAAGTCAGATATATTGTCACAAGAAGAAACAGTGAAAGTATTAGCAGAAATTTGTATTTTACCTAATACTAAACCAGAGAAATGGAACTCTAAAAGAATTCAAAACATTTGGCTTAGAAGAAGGTTGACAAAGAAAAGAAAGGTTAGTATCAAGTTACTGTATTATTTCATCACATCTATTATTATATTTATTAGTTACCTGAATAAAATTTAAAAAATTTATAAGACACTAATAATTTATTGGCATAAGACATTCATTTATTGTTAAATATAGGTCGCAAATAGAAAATTTAATATTGGAAATGTTTTTAGAATAAATTGTGTTTGGTATTGTTGCAAAAAAAATAATGATAAAAGTCACAAAAAATAAACATAATTAAAGCATTTATTTATTTCAATAATCTAGAAAATTATTGTTTTTATTAAAATGGAATTGGAGTTGAAATAGACGAACGTAAGTTATTTATTTATCACCAAATTAGCTAAGATGGTTTATGTTAAAGAAGCATTTAATATTATTATCATAGAATTGATAAGTAGATATTTTAATTTATTAAAATCTATAGACACAGAAAATACTAGTGAATATAAGTCTTAGATGATGTAGAATCTGCATTAAAGTCATTAACGATAATTTAAACATGAGAATAAGGCATCGTAATCTAATAATATTAAAAATTAGGAGGAATATCAAGAGTCAGTCATTATTCTGCCCCAAGAAAAAAGAAATTTAAAATTATTTTTGATCTTAAATAACTAGTAATTATAATAAAGATGAAGTTGTCTACTTGTAAAGAATATTTTCTTAATAAAATGCTAACACTATAATAGCGATAGACAAATTTAGCTTATACAACTAATCTATAATATAAAGAAAATGGTATCCTTTGACTATCTCTAATATTATTAAAATCATACTGAAGTCTCTTAAACCAATCGAATAATTCTACCTGCTTTTCACAAATAAACATCTTTTGCACAATTTAGAGATAAAATAAATAAAACAATGTACAGATAACCTCTGATCCAAAATTCAGAAATTACTTATCTTGTACAATATAACTTAAAGTAATTTAAATTATACTTTAACCAAAAACGTGGTAAACATCATAAAGTTTAGCGAGACATACTAATCCAAATATTCAAAAACTATAAACAAACCTCTAATCAAAGAAAAAGTAATGCTATATAAATTTATTTTGCATAATTTGCATTCATTCGAAATTAAAAAAAGTAATATATATTAAAATGATCTTAATGAAAATGATTATTTTTTTTACTTGTCTTAGGTATCTTGTGAATATAGAAAAAAAAGGCTAAGAAAAAAACTGAAAGAATAAGTTAAACCAGCAACAATTAGCGAACCAATTATTAGACACTCAATATTATTTAATTAGGCTAGAAAAATAGATCTTGTATTATCGATAAACAAAAAATAAATTTAAAATTTCACAATTTCTATTTAAATGTAGATCGTGGGATATGTCCTGTGATCGATATAGATTATCTTTACAGCAAAGATAGTTAAATAATTGGTTATCCTGAGTCAGCAATTATATCGATCTAAACATAACCATCAGCTAATCAAATCAACTAAAATAATTAATATTCCGTAATAAAGCTTTATTTTTTTAATTATTGCTATATTATATTTTAAATAATAATTCTATTTCAATCGTCATTGAACCTTTAGCGAATTATCTTTTTTTTTTTTTTTTTTTGTTAATCATAAAATACTACCTATATTTATTTACATATACGTATATATAATACTTAAATCGAATCGCTAATTAACAAATTCTAAAGCTAAATTAACTGTTAATATATAATATAGTAATATTTAGAAGTAAATAATATATAATACAATATATAGTTTAATAAAAAAAATGTAAATTAGGATTAATTTGTAAAGATTATAATAGTATGTATATCTTATAAAAAAAAGTTTTTTAAACCAAAATTAGTATAATTTTCATATATCAATCTAAATATATATTGTTATACAAGCCTATTTTATTGAATACCTAGTATAAAAAAATATTATATTTAAATAATTTATATAAAACTTTTTTGAGATCAAAGCTTGCACTAAATATCTTATTTAATTGTTGAATTATTGCTTATAAATAACTAATATAACTAAATTTTTACATATTTTATAAAACAAGTATTAAAAGTATAATACCTTTACTCTATAATTTTTTAATAAACCTTTAGCTTTAATTTCTTACTACTTTTTACTATTTAACTAGTAAAATTTTATTAAACTAATCATTTAATGTTTTATGTATTTCTTACTATTTTTTATTTGAAACAGAAACTTAAAGCTATAGAATTTAGAAAGATTTAACAAATATTGTTTTTTATACTATAAAAGCTTCAAATTTGCTTAGTAACTTATTAGAGATTATCTTATAATACAAGTGAGTAATATAAGATATTCTAAATATTTTAAAATAATATAAAAAAAATTTTTATAAGTTATATAATATTAAATTATATTTTATATACAGTAGTAGGTATTATTTTTGCTAAAAATTATTTCTTAAAGTAAGAATATTTCAAATATTCTGAGTTTATAAATTATTATACAATTTATTAAAGATTTTTTTATACTTTTTTAAAGCATCTTATCTTTTAATTAGTTTAAATATTCTGCTTTATTAATATATTCATTTAATCTATTTTAATTTACTAATCTTTATATTCAATTTATTTAATAAAGTAAGTAAATAAAATAAGTATTTAGAG